GAGTCTCTGTCCATACCAAACAACAAGTTTGAAGAGACTGACAGAGTTTATAAAACTAAATTCTCATGCTCTGCCTCACCTCTGCTCAAGAGCCCTCCAAAATTCAAAAGCAAAAGTCAAACATACAGTAATAAACCAATCTGTTTTTAGAGAGAGGAACATTACCTTCTCTGTGTGACACTGAAACTTTACGTCTGTAAATAATTGGATAAGACAATTTTTCAGTCTCTACAGTGATTTTCAACGTGCACATCTTTTGACCTAACACTAGTACTTGTAGGAAACCAATCTAAAAAAATAATCACACACATACAAATAATATAGAGCCCTGAATATTCTTTGAATTACTAAAATTATTAGTAAGAATAGGAAACAGACAACTGTAAGCCATCCCAGAAGTAGTTACAAGAAAGATGTTCTATCCATTCAATGGGATATGCAGAAGACTTTGTTCTATTTTGTTTTAATGTTTTGTTTAATAGCAAAAGATGAGTATGTTCCCTGTGGAGGTAAATAACAGTATATTACTAAAAAAGCCAGTTTTATAATGCTAACAAGTGTGAGCTTTCTTGCTTTAAAAAGATGTGTGTGTTTATGTTCACTTAGATATAAAAATTGTTTAAATAAAAGTATAGTTGCTGTATTTAGGTATTCCTTGGATCTTAAACAATGAAAATGTCTTTAAGTGTAGCAAAATTATTTTCTATTTAGAAAAGTTAAAATACTGAGAAGGCAGAAAACTCTACCAAAATGCACAACATTAATCACAGCAAAACTTGCTGCACATTATGTGATTCATTTTATTCAGAAATATTGAATCCAAGCCCCGCCACCCATTCTGTTTCCGTAGCGCCTGCCTCATCTTCTGTGCCTTATGTCAGAACCCTGAATAGTGACAACCAACAGTGACAAACGACCATGATGACCTGCAAGAGCATTAAGCGGAAAAGAAACGCCCAACTGCTTCATTAGCCCCCACTTAATAAAGTGCAGAAGAGGATTACGCTGCTTTATGAAAAGTTTCCTGTGAGGTACCCACGATGTTAGTATCCTCTTATTCTCAGAAAACGCCTTTAAAATGCTGCTTAATTAGTTCCACTTCCAAAGGAAACAACGTGCAGTGGTCAACACTGATGGTCAACCTGAGCGTCCCAGGAGACACCTAGGAGGTGAGTGAAGCACGCTTTGGGGTGTGCTGCTGGGTCACGGTACGTGATCTTGGTGGCTATCTCTGGCCCGTGGCCCCTCTCTCTGGGGCTCTTCTGCTTTGTCCTTTCAGGCTGCCCTGGGCTTTTTGCAGTGCCTTCCCTTAGTGACCTTTCTGTCCTGTGGTCAGTCCCCTGTGAACTGAAGCCTCCGAAACCCAGAGCCCAAAGCAGCCCTTCCTCTTTTCAATCGTGCATGTCAGGCATTTTGTCTACCAATAGAAAGATGATTGACACACTATTCTCTCCTCGGGTCTTTTTTTTCCACTGTCATCCTGCTGTCGCTTTTCTTCACAGACTCAGCATCATCTTCAAAACAGTGATGACAAACCTACAGCACACAAGTGATGGTCTTTGTTCCTTTAAAACAAAGGATGCTAACGTATCAGTTGTTTTTTAAGCTGAAGCCTCATTAGTCAGGTTTAACTACAGTGTTGGCCCTTTGCAATCAATAAATGGGTTTTAGGTTGCAGTCACCAAAAGAAAGGTACACCATCTCTGTTCTAAAATATAAATTTTTAAATTAAGAATCATATCATTATTCCTTTAGTCAAAGTGTGTACGCTTAGAGAAATGCAAGGTCGGTGTCCCTGCCACCTCCTGTGTGACTGCAGGCTGAAATGCCTGCTCACCCGCCTCCCTCGCACTTGTGTCCACACGAGTCGCCTTGGTGTGTTTTCTCCTTCCCAGTTCCTCTTTAACAGGGCCTTGGTTCTTGCTGTTCCACCGAGAGGATCCTATCCTACATCCCACCATGACTGCTACTCATTCTGTTCCAGTGTCACTTCCTCGGAGATCTGCACAGATGACCCTCTCCATGAGGTTACCTGCACTAGCGCCTGTCCTCATCTCGCGTGGTCATCCCCCAGCACACAGCTCCCTGAGGTTACGTCATATAAGCCCATGCTGTTTGTTGGTTCCCCTAACTAAATATAAACAGGCTCCATCAAACTAGGGATCACGTCCTTGGACACTGCTGTATGTCCATCCTGGTAAGAGTTACAAGCACACATAATCTGGTACTCAGTGAAAATATTCAGGAGATGAAAAGAGGAGAGCATACAGTGAGGAAGACCACTTGAGAATCTAAGAGGTCATCATGGCTTGCACTGCAGTGATGGTGGCAGATTTTTGGAGGTAGGATCATCAGAACTTTGACGGGAGATGAAGGGAGCATCAGGAAGGGGAGGTGCTTTAGGAATTTAGTTAGAAACATAGGTAGACCCATGCACCACTGACTGAGACGGGGACATTAAAATGTGTCTTGCAGAAGAAGATGGGAAATGGTCCAGGTCGGCACATGACGGGAGAGTGACTTTGGTCATCAATGTCTGCTCCAGAGACAAGGGGCTTAGTTCTCCTTGTGTGTCTGGAATTGTCATGGTTCAGTCTCAGCACGGATGATTCAGAGTATTTCACCCAGCAGTGGGAGGTGGGTCAGGCCCAAACCACTGCTGCCACATATCCAGGAAGCCCTCCCACTTAGTAACTCAGTAAGAGAGATTATTTTCTTTGTCTGTTTCTTTAACTTCTTTTTTTTCCCACAAGTGCATACTGTTTGCTTTCAAAATTGTGCCTACACTTGATTTTGTCCTCTTGCTTCATGCTTTCTGGATGTATTTGTTGTTTTCCTTTGCCACTTGTCTCTTTCCTCCAGCTCTGTCTTGTACCACTTGGACTATTTTTAAGGAAGAACTATGTATGGAAATTTGTGACGCAGATAAACCTGCAATTTCCATAGTGACTAATTTTGTATAACTTAAAAACTTACTTGAAACTATATATATTTTCTTCAGTCCATAATGATCACATTCATTGTGAGGAGTTAGTGCACATACATAATACATCTTAATTCATTTTTACAAACCTAGATATAATGGTTAAAATTAAACAGCCGATGATCTGCTTGTGAGGATTATGAATTTAGTGTAGAGAGTCTGCTTTTTGGCTCATTATCTCCATCCTTGTAGCACAGGCACCAAGCTAAGGTTACAGAAGTTACAGAAGGAGCCACTCACCCCCGCCTTACCATCCACAGTTTGGTGAGTCACCAACTTTGACTTCTTTTACCCCCTACCTAAGTCCCATTTCCACCGTATTTCTCCTGTAACTTGCAACACTTCCCCCAACTTGGAGTCCAGTGTCCTCTCAGAAGCAGCTAAAGGGTTTTATGTAACAGGACAATCTTTGATGCTCTATGAAAGCCTTCTTTGATGTCCTGTACATCCAGGTAGAGTTCCCATGCCATCACATGTCACTCAAATCCCTCTTAACTCACACTTACCACCAGCTCACCAGCTTCCTGGTCCCAAGGTTTTTCCGTTCCTACCTTGGACTAGAAATTTTGATGTAGAAACCAGAAACCATATTTACCCATTCTTATCAGTGCTTGATATTGTGCTGCTGTCTTGAAGAAATATGGTTTCCATCTAGTGCTTGAACATATTTGATATTTTTATATCCTCTTGAAATCTGTTTCTCCCAGTGGGCCCATCATGAGTGCCACTGACTAACCATTTCTCACACTTTGAGGCAACACCAATGAACTGACACAGTGTTGTGATTATCACTGAATTTTCCATCTTTATGTAATCACCTTGTTCATATTTTTTCTTCGAATAGCATTGAGCCCTTGGAGGTAAAGGATTATTTTTAAGCCCTTGTTATCAAGGTATTGCTAGGCATATGCATTCGGTGCTCAATAAGTGTTCTTGGATTTGTTTTCCTAAACGTTGCAAAAGCTTTTCTTTTTTCATGTGCAAACTTCATTTCTTGCACCCCGAAAATGGTCTGCTGTTAGATATTGCTTGTTTCCACCAGCTTCATTTGCTCTGCTTCCTTAGGAACACCTCTTATTCGTAGGTGAGCTGCCTGCTCTCTGCCCCACGTCTTTCTCTGTCACGTTTTTCTCTGTCCCTATGCATTTCTGTGATCTTTCATTTTACATTCTGGTTCTTACTTATACAATACCAATTTGATTTTGAATAGAGAGAGTTTCCCTTATAATGATTTTAATTCTGCTTGTTTTTTAGGGTCTATTCAGTTTTTTAAAAAGTTATGTCAGAGAGAGGGAGAGAGAGAGACGAATTTAGTGATAGCGAGACCGGCTGTGTATGACTTCTTGCAAATAATTTAATCTCTTCCAGTTTTGGGTGTCGAACATGCATAACAAAATCATGACACTGCTTTCCTCATAGGGTGATTGTGAGATCAAATGTAACAGAAGACACAAAGTGCTTGCAGGTCATCATAGTCTGACGCTCAGAAGACATCTCTTACCAGTGCTGATGTCTCCTTCCATGTAACGAGGCACCCAAGAAAGAAACTCTCTTCCTCTCCTCCCCAGTTTCTTCCTCTCTTGGAGTAAGTCCTCACATCCCTCCTTCTCTCTGTCAGTTGGCCTCTCCTACTCGAGTAAAGTCATATTCCTTGATTGCTGCTGTTCAAGCTTAAGTTTTTAACAAGTGTATCACCTTTGCTGTTTCTACATCATTTTCTGTTTAGCAAACTGGTTCAGATTCAAGTGGAAAGAGGTCTAAACTTTATACACTATTTATTTTGCTGCCTTAAATTCTAGGATTTGATTAATTAGGCTGAGAATCTTGGTGGGGTGGCAGTCATAAATGTTTTTGGGGAGAGTAGCTATTAGCCTGGTTGACACTCTAGTAGATAATGACCGCGTGGGACTTTTAGGGGAAGTAAACTAAAGATCGCAGAAACAATTTACTACTTCATGCAAATGCAACAGTACTTTCTATTTCGTGTTCAAGTATTTGTCTTTATGTTACTACTTACAGTTTGTGCCGACATTTGAACAGTGAGTAAAGATGATATCTCCTGTAACATGTGCAGGTCATCTTTCTCATCGTTGGGATTTATAACCCAAAATGCACAACTGAAATGAAAGGGGTTTACACAGATCACATTTTCAGAGGATTCATTCCACGGTCCCCTGTCTCCCAGCCAGAACATCGCTCATGGTGGAAGAACATGCCAGAACAGAGATGTGTGGCCACTTTCTGGCCCCAGAATATTTCCATCACCCCAGAAAGAGCCCCTCGAGCCCATTAGCACTCCTTCTCCATCTCCCCTCGCCCAGCCCTGGCAGCCACTAATCTCCTTTCTGTGCACGCCCTTTTATCTAAGGGTACATCACTGTGGGCACCAGATCCTAAGCAAAGAAACATGTTCCTCCGCAAGCTGAGCAGGATACACAGGCTTAGAAAAGGCGCCGGGCAATGAGTAACAAAGGAGACCAGACAGTGGGGACTCTGCTGATGGCCTATGGGCACGCAGGCAAATAAAACTTCGGCTTTAGTGGCTGCAAACAGCCTCACAGGCTCAGTGTCCTTGTGAGGCTTACCGCTAAACTACAAGAAAGCAGTGAGTCAGGTATTACAGCCTGGCTTGCACATATTTGCTTGAATTGATGGAAACAATAAAAATTGCTGCTTTTAAACCCCAAAAAAGGTTCTTTTTTCACATTTTGGATACTTGTGACAATCTAGCTATGTAATAACGTAAGCATCACCAGTAGGTTGATAGCAACAGATCATCAGACAAAATCCATTCTTCATTCCAGGCCCAAGGAACCAAGCTTCAAGGAACTTTGCACAGCTTTTCCCAAGACTTACAAGTAATGGCCAATGGCTGATATAAAATTAGCTCCAGCCTGGTTTAATATGTGTGAGAATGTTTCCCCAGGAAATGATTCGATTTTCCTGAGGCCTAGGAAATTTCTACAAAGCAGCAGTGCAAAGAGCATGGTGCACAGAGGGGCATATGTCCCTTCAGAGGACAGGGCAGGTGCAGTGCTGTCTGATATACCCTTCCTCCATTTAGCATGGGGCTCTAATAGAAATGTAGGGCCCAAAGGAAAAACAACCTGTAAGAATCTTTGACAATAGTTTCTGGGAAATAAATGTACCTCGAATAAGTCCTGGTGATCGGAAATGCTATTATTTGCAAATTTCTGAATTTACTATGAAGGCAGCAATATCTCAAATGCTACTTTCAGAGAAAGGGAACCTTATGAGAATACAGTAACCACATATAATGCCAAAATCAGTTTCCGCTGGAACATTGTTCCCCGTTGAGTTTATTACAGGACACAGATGAGCTAAACTTTCAGAGATATATGAGGATCTCAGGAATAATGGCATCTAAGACACACAGGGAAGTAACAGTCAGCTGCAGGCAATATCAGAAGTTCTCCGGAATTACCCGGAGGAGCAGGGGCAGGGCTCTGGAACAGGTGACCGTCATTAGCCAGAATTAACCTCCTCCTGGGAAAATTCTCCAAGTTCAATTCAAAGATTATAGCTCCCACTCTTCCTTCATTCTGCGACAAATTACGGACAACTACAATCAGACGTGTTGAGTGGCTAAAAGCAAGGAGACCACCCAGGCTGCAGTAGAAGCCAGATGATTTGATTTAAAACATGCATGATTTACTCAACTAGGTCCTACACAAAGAATTTCAACTAGAATAATTGCCCTAGTGGACAAGAATGAGCTTGTTTCATAATTCTGGTGTTAGAATCAATGTTATGATAATTTGAGCCTGGCACAATTAAAAAAAAAAAACAAGGAAAATGAAGCGTGTGAGAGATTGGAATTGACCGGACGTAGATGTGAAAGCATACATTCTGTAGTAGTCAGGATTTGTTGCAGCTTAAATTGAGCAGCCTGGGCAATTTGGGAGGTATCATAATAACAAGTCTTAACACAGCACCAATGCACAGCACTGCACTGACCCACTGATTACTATTAACCCCTTTAAGCTTCACGCTCATATCAAGTGAAAAGTTATCCTCATTTCACTGGTAAAAAGCAAAGCTTCGAAACTTCTGATACCTTTCTATCTCCTAAGGGGATTTTGTTTTACATTTCACATTTAAAAATTCAGAAAAGTATCCAAAAAATATTGTCCACCAAAGCCTGAGCGAACCTGTTACGAAAGTGCTATTGCTAACAGCGGACCTCTTTTCTAAGAAGGAGAGTCCACCTTGGCTTGCCCATGAGCAGAAGGAAGGGGGTGCTAGCAGCTGCGTGGAGGCCCCCAATAATTAATACCTCTGGCCTTTTCTCCAGCCGGTTCCTCTCTCCTGTCTTGCAAAAAGAGGAGACCGTTCCTTACCTGAGTGTTAGGAATAAGGACCCTGGCATAACCATTGCTTCTCCTCCATGCAGCTGCCTGGCTGGATAGACCTCCTTCCTAATTGTCCCCACACAGTGACATCAGTGTCCACCGGCCTGCCGTGGCCCTGCACCACTCACCAGGGGAGGCTGTCCAGGTCCTTGGTGTTCGGACATCCTCGGCTGGAAACGGAATGTGCTCTCTGCCAAGAGTTCCATCTGCAACCAAAGTGGTATCTTGGCCTCGTTCTGTACTTATATACACTTATGTATTGATTGAATGATTTGAAACTAGTGTCAATAACTCCTGGCGAGCCTTTTGCTATCTGAATTCATAGTTTGGGCTGCTGAAATGAAGCACCAATGACTGGATAGCTTAGAAGCCACAGACATTGATTTATCACAGTTCTGAAACCTGGACGTTCAAGACTGGGACTCTAGCAGGCCAGGTGCTGAGGCTGAAGGTTGTGGCAGGATCTGGCTTCTACTCGCAGGAACACACAGTGGGATGACCTGAGAGCTGCCCAGGGTTACCCCACCAGGGCAGCAATCCCGTCCAGAGGCTTCCCCTGTCCTGACTTAAGTGACCCCACCACCACCAATGCCCCAGTCACGTCAGGGGTTAGAATTGCAACCTATAGTACAAATTTGGGGAAATGCAGGCGTGAAATCCACGACAGTACCATTCTCATTCCAAAGTCTTTCCCATCAGTCTGTTCCCATTCCCCCTTTTGCCTATTCAGGCCTAAAAGTGCATTGCTGTTTTTATAAAGCTTGAACTTTTTCTCACTGAACATTCAGAAGTAGAAATTTTTCCCCTCACAAGTGTTTGCAGTCTGACAGAACTGTAGACGGTAAGTAGCTTGGACCTCAATGTGGGAGTCGAGGTTGTGGGAGGAGTGCTAGAGTCATTTCTAGGAAATTGCCAGGACCGAAAGTTTGGTGTGTCTTAACGTGATTTACAGCGGCAGCCCAGACTCTAGTCCTGAATCTGCTATGGACGTGCAGACTGAGGATGTCCTGAGCAACAAGGGGCATGAAACTCTGTGTTGCTCCCACAGTGTGGCTTTCGAGGGAAAGCAGGATAGATTTCACAAGCTACCAACCGCTGGTCATGGCGGTGCCTGCCTGTAACCCCAGCACCCTGTGAGGCCTAGGCAAGAAGATGCCACTTTAAAGTTCTACTTTGGCAAATGAGTGGAACCCTGTCTCAAAAAATAAATAAAATCAAAACGGGGTGGACTGGAGCTCAGTGTGAAGACCCTGCATTCAATTCCTAATACTGGTGAAAAAAAATACCATCAGCAATCTGGTACTGAAACTCTGCGTAAGGATCTTTATAGTAAACGGAATTGTTCATTATTTTCAACTTTCTAACAATTACATTAAAAAGAGAAGGTTTGTCTTGAATACTGTGGGGGAAAAGTCGGCCTCCTGCTTCACTGCCGTGTGATCTACACAAGGTGACACGAATGAGCTTCAGAAATCAGGCTCAACCCAACGGTAGAACAAAAGAAGTGGGCAAGGGGACATTTTGCAGGGAAGTTAAATTAATGCTTAAGGATTTGTCTTAATTTGAAGCATTAGACACTGGATAGCTGAGGATTCCTTATCAGAAATACATGAACTAAAATTCAGGTCCAGTCACTAAAGAATACAAAAGCTATATATAACTTACAAATTAACCAAAAAAGAAGAGACAATTTTTAAAAACTCTATCAAGGAAGTTGAAAGCAGAGGAAAAGAAAAAAAATAAGATAATGAAAAACACAAAACAAATAGTAAAAAAATGAAATATATACATCAATAAGCACTCAGATATGTGTAAAAACAAATTGGTTCTTAAAGGAGAAACTCATGCTAATGTTGACAAAGAAATATGTCCAATGCTTTTAAGTACATTGTTGTTTGTAACAGGTGGAAAAAACTTAAATGCCCATCAGTGTGAGATGGATAAATTGCTGTATACACACATCAGGGAAAACTCAATTATTAAAATTAATAAGTAAAATTTACATGTATAAGTTACATGTATCTCAGAAAGTATTCTAGTTAGAAAAATAGTCAGAAGGATGATGCATGCATCATTACTTTTAAGAGTTATTTTTAAAACCACAAAATATTATGTATACATTTAATGGATAGATCATGTGATAGAGGTATAAATAAATGTAAACAGACATCCCACATCCAAATATCAGGATAATTATCCCTTGGGGGCAGGGAATTAGAAAAATCTTAATTGAACTCATTATTTCATTTTAATAATCTGAGGCTGGTTTGGTAGTCTGTTAAAATTATTATTTTGCATATGGGTATATTTTATGTTAATTTTTGCATTTTCTTTATCAAAAAACATTACATGCCATTTATTTTTACTTAAAAGAGAAAAAAGGACACAGGAAAGAAAAACAAAAAGCAAAAGAGACAAACAAAAAACAAACAAAAAACAAACAAAATGATAACAATAGAGGCTTTCAAAACAAGATGACAAGAATTTAACAATGGCTCTTGGACTGCACATTGTTACCTTCAAATGGCTGCTCAGGATACCAGATACAGACATGCAAACCGTATGGTCTTATCACCCAGGTATTAACTGTTCTCTTCCAAGAACTAGTAGAATTAGTAGTACAGTTATCTTAGCGGTCTTATGCACATATATGCAAATTTATGTCTTCTTCCTTTCCTTTCCTCCTGTCCTCCTTTCCTCTATCCCACTTACTTTTCCTCTTTGAGCAGTTTCTTACCTTACACAATATCTATTAGATTTTGTATCTTACCTGCTCTTTAAGTTTCTCACACTAGGGAGACAATACAGTATTTACACATGTGAGTTTGATTTATGTTAATTATGAGTATGGTCTCAAGTCACATCCATTTACCTATAAAAGCCTCAAGGCAATTCTTCTCTATAGCTGAGTAATACTCCACTGTATAAAAATCCACATCCTTTTTAATCCGTTTGGGTTGTTTCCAAGATTTGGCTACTACTGTTGTGCTGCTATAAACATGGGTGCAGATATATCACTGTGGTATGATGTTTTCAATTCTCCTGGGAAAATGCCCAGAAGCAAAGGTAGCTGAGTCAAATGGAACCTCTAGCTCTTTGAGGACTCTCCACACTGATCTCCACAGTGGTTGCACCAGTCTACACTACCACCAACAGTGTAGACAGGTCCCTTTTTTCCATATCCCCTCTAGCACTTGTTATTAGTTGATTTCTTGATCCTGGCCATTCTTTCAGGAGTGAGATGGAATCTCAGTATTGTTTTAATTTGCATTTCTCAAATGACCAATGATGCTTAACATTTTTTTCATGTATTTATTTGCCATTTGTATTTCTTCATCTGAGAGCTGTATATTCAACTCAGATGCCAATTTTTGGACTGGGTTTTTGAATTTTGGGGATTTTTAATTCTTTATATGTTCTAGATAAAAGTCCCTTATCTGAGGGACAGTTGGCTAAGATATT